CCTCCCCTCCCCCTCGGCCTGCCCCTGCCCCCTCCCCCAGGCCCAGCGCGGGCGCCCGGCGCGTCCCGACCCGCCGCCAGTTTAGGATCCAAAGCTTCTCTACTCGTTTTGTTCTTTCCTTTTCTTTTTTTTAAAAAAGAGGGGGGAAATCCCGGTGGTGGGCAGCCTGGCACGCACACACCCGCCCTCACACCCCGACAAAAGCAGATGCACTTTGACTTCTGACAGCTCTACCTCAAGCCCGTGAGAACTCAGCGGCGCTTCCCCCCCCAAGCCGAGCTCGCCGCGTCTTCCTCTTCTTCTCCGCCTCCGTTTTATTTATTTCCGTTCCCGCCGCCGTTCTCGGTGACCTTCACTCCTCCGCGAGCTCTGGGCAGAAGAGTCGCTTTCTCGTCCGCCTGAGACTCCTTTTCCTCGCCTGGAGAGCTGAGGTGAAGCTGCTCCGCCACGGGACCCTGGACTCCCGGGCTGCACACTCCACTGAGTTGTCCCCCATCCCCCAGCAGCCTCGTCCCACCCCCCCCCCCCCTTTTGATTTTCTGGCGCGGATTTTGGCTTGCACCGCCGAGAGTGTCTCCTCTTTTTGGAGGGGCTGGGGAGCTCCTGCCGGTCGTCTTCCGGAGTCTTACCCTCGGGTCTACTTGCCCCTCTCTCTCCGGGCCTCACCAGACCAAACCAAAGACCATGGTGCACTGTGCCGGCTGCAAAAGGCCCATCCTGGACCGCTTCCTCTTGAATGTGCTGGACAGGGCCTGGCACGTCAAGTGCGTCCAGTGCTGTGAATGTAAATGCAACCTGACCGAGAAGTGCTTCTCCCGAGAAGGCAAGCTCTACTGCAAGAACGACTTCTTCCGGTGAGTACTTCCCTCCCGCGCCTCTGCTTTTCCCTCCCCGCGGGTCCTTCCCGGCCTGCTTCGGATCAGAGGTCAGCGTGGCCACGGCGGCCGCGTTAGGAGCTGCCTCTGGAGAGGGCAGCCGGGTCCCGCGGGCGCCCGCCTCCTCGCCAGCTGGCGCGCTGCGCGCCCGGGCTGCGGCCCTGCTTGCGTCCTGGAAACTGTGGGTCCGGGCTTGGCTGCACGTGCCTGGGAAGAAAGGCTCCGAGCCCGCCTCGGCCCAGAAGCCCCTCTAAGCTTGGAAGAGAAAGGACAGCCTCGGGCGTTGTAGTCCCGGCTCCTGTCTTCCCCGGAGCAACTGCATTCTCCAGCAAGTGCATTCTCCAGGCCTCCCGTGTTGCTCGCCCGCTAGGCTGAGCTTACAAGCCCGGGCTGGCTCCCTGCCACTCCTTTTTCCATCTCTGAGAGGTCTTGGCGGGAACTGCGGAGGCTTCTGGCGTGGAGTGCCGCGGTGGCCGCAGATATGAGCTCGGCCTTGTGGCTGATACTGCACTCACGGGGGTTTTCCTGAAACCCGACCGGGCTCCAAGCACAGAACTGGGCGAACTGCTGCTCTGTAGCCGGTGAAGTGACCCGGGATTTCTCTGGCTTTCCACGGGTGCCGGGGTGGGCGGGCGGTTCGGCCTCGGCTCAAAGCTGACCCAGGCTCCGAGGCGAGGGCTCCGCTCTGGAACCTTCCCAGGAACTGCCCCGACATGGCCCACCACCTCCCTGCCGAAACCCGGGGAAAAGACGAGATGCGTCGGAGCTGGGAGACTTCTTTTCCCTACTCCCGTCCTCCGTTTAACGTTTTAATTGTATTCACTTAATCTCATTATTTTGCCATCTCATCCACACACACAAGTCAACAGAGAAGAACAGGCGCAAACGCGAATTATAATTCTGCGGCGCGGGTTTGAAATGTCTCAGTTTATTCGTCTGACTTGGTCTCAGCTTTTCTCTGAGTTCGTAGCGACCGATCAAACTGGGGGGTGGCGGGGAGGAGGAGGGATTCGAAGCTACCCGAGCCGCTTTGCCCAGAGGTCCAGGACGCGCTATCCCCAAGGCCGCTCCAGGTCGCATGGCTCGGGTTGCAGGGAGCTAAGGAGCGAAGTGCTGTGCACGTTGGTACGGCTGGGAGGAAGCGCGGACTGATCCTCTGGGGCTAGGCTGGCTGCGCCAGGTTTCTACTGCAATGACAGGATCTGAGGGCGGCGACAGTGTCCGCTGTTACCCGGCCCCCGAGGCCTGCCTCGGCAAAGGGCGCCTACAGCGGCTCAGCCGCGCCGCCGCTCCCGTGTGCCCAATACCTACTGGGCTTTGGGGCATGAAAGTGCGGCGGCCCAGTTACGGCTCCCGGGGCTCTCTACCGCTGTCTGTTTACCCACCCGACCTCGCCAACCCCAGCCTGTGCGCGGATCCTTTTGCGATCAAAGAGAGGCGACACTAGGAGAGAAAAGCGACGCCCTAGGCGCGCTCATATGGAGCTTGCATTCAAATTTGACTGCTCCGAATCTAATCGGAAAATAAGTGTCGCCTTCGCCCCCTCCCGTTCACCGCCTTGACGTCTTCTTCCCCAGCGCTGTTTTCCTCTGGGATGAAGCGGGCGTGAGGCTGGGGTTGGGGGACAGCTTGGACCCCTCGCTCTAACCGTGTGTATCTCCTCTCTGACTTTCCCCTGGTGCCCTGTGCTCTCCCCTCCTGCCTCCTCACGTGCTTAATGGGCATTCTGCCTCTTTTTGGTGCTCTTTTTCTCCCTCTCTCCTTTCCCCCCTCCCTTCCTTTCTTCGTCCTCCACTTTCTACTTTCTCCCGCTCTGGTCTTTCTGCCGGCCTCTGTCTCCTCCTGCCCCTCGCCAACCCGCCCCCCCATGCCCGCAGGTGTTTCGGTACCAAATGCGCTGGCTGCGCGCAGGGCATCTCCCCTAGCGACCTGGTGCGGAGAGCGCGGAGCAAAGTGTTTCACCTGAACTGCTTCACCTGCATGATGTGTAACAAGCAGCTCTCCACCGGCGAGGAGCTCTACATTATCGACGAGAACAAGTTCGTGTGCAAAGAGGATTACCTAAGTAACAGCAGTGTCGCCAAAGAGAACAGCCTCCATTCGGGTGAGGCCCCAATAACCGGATTGCTAGGGGCGGGCGGGTCCCAGGGGAGGAAGGCCCGTCAAGGCCTCTGCTCACCTGTCCCTTCCCTCTCCCCAGCCACCACGGGCAGTGACCCCAGTTTGTCTCCGGATTCCCAAGACCCGTCGCAGGACGACGCCAAGGACTCGGAGAGCGCCAACGTGTCGGACAAGGAAGGGGGTAGCAACGAGAATGACGACCAGAACCTGGGCGCCAAGCGGCGGGGGCCGCGCACCACGATCAAAGCCAAGCAGCTGGAGACGCTGAAGGCCGCCTTCGCTGCTACACCCAAGCCCACGCGCCACATCCGCGAGCAGCTGGCGCAGGAGACTGGCCTCAACATGCGCGTCATCCAGGTCAGGGCCCCGGCGCGCCACTCAGTCCCCCAGGGGCCCATGCGGCCACTCCCGGCACCCAGGACCGGGAGAGCCCAGGGTGGAGGACAGGAGTGAGTCCCTGGAGGCTGGAGGAAGGGCTGGGGGTGGGGGGAGGCCCAGACACACCCGGCGTGACCTTTGAAACACGGCCCGATATGTGGAGCATCTGGAAATCCTTCTTCCTAGCCCAACAGAGGTGATAGTGGCGGCGGAGGGGGAGGGGCGGGGAGCTCAGCATTAGCTTGGAGGAGGGCACACTGTCGAGCACCTCCGTGAGAGTTGGGACCCCCTTTCTGCATACACCCCACCCCTACCCCCATCCCCGGTTAGGAAGAAGTGGAGAGGTCAGTGTTTGCACCAGAGTCAACCAGTTCTTCTGGCTTCTGCACAACGTGATCTCCCTCTAAGTCTCCAGCCCCAACTTTGTGGGTCCCTGACCCCACTTCGACAAGCCCCAGAGCAGAGACTTCCTCTACAAAGAGAGCTGGGGCATCCTGGATTGAAAGGGAGGTGGTCCGGTCAGGAGTCCCGAGGTCCGCAGTGGGATGGGGAGGGCAGGCCGTCTGGAGGTAGCGGGGCCTCTGCGTTTGGAGGAGGTGAGACTGCGTGTGATTCGGCCGGTGGAGTCTCTGGCCCGGTGCTAGATGTCCATTTCACGCTGTCCGGAGGCTCTGCGAGGGTATGGGTGGATGTGCCTGGGAGGCTGAGTGTGCGTGCACACAAGTGTGCTGGCGGCCCTCAGAGGGAGGCCCAGAGACCTCTGGGAGGTTGTGCGAACCCGTGTGCATGAATGGGAGGTTGTGTCTGTGTCACTATTTGTGAGAGGTTGTGGATAAGTCTATTTAGTGCTGTGAGACTGTGCGTGGGTGTGAAAAGGAGATTGTGTGTTTTGGTGTCACTATCGTTGGGAGACTGAGTACCAACAGGAGGCTCTTTCTGCGTCTCTGTCACTATGGGGGGAGGGAGTGCTGCAAGGGACCGTGAAGGAGAAGCTGTGTGTATCTGACGCTAATTTGGAGAGGTTTAGTGTCTATGCGTGTACAGCCCGGAGAAGCTGTAACTGTAACAGTGTGACTGTTAGAAATAACGCGGCTACACCCCAACTGCCTCACTTCGGACCGGGCGGCCTGCCAGGTCCGCCTGTCGGGAGTCCTACTCGCCATTGGCTCAGGGTCGGCCCTGAGCGGTCCTGCTCTGAGACGCCGCCACCACTACAGTGCGCACCCACACGGGGAGCCCGGGAGTCGGCGAGCCGGGAGGCGGAGGGGTGAGGGGCTGGGCCTGGCCGCGCACCCGGGGCGTCACCCCGCGGCGTGTGTGCTGCAGGTCTGGTTCCAGAACCGGCGCTCCAAGGAACGCAGGATGAAGCAGCTGAGCGCGCTGGGCGCCCGGCGCCACGCCTTCTTCCGCAGTCCGCGCCGGATGCGGCCGCTCGTGGACCGCCTGGAGCCGGGCGAGCTCATCCCCAACGGCCCCTTCTCCTTCTACGGAGGTGGGTGCGCGGCCGAGTGCGGGGCACGGCCAGGCAGGGGTTGGCTTCGCTGGAAGCGGGTGGCAGCGCGGGAGGCGAAGTGGAGAGTCGGGAGAGAGAAGGGCGAAGGCTGGGCCGAGAATCGGGGGGAGGTGGTGAGACCGAGAGCCGGATTCCCGACTCTGGTGAGGAGGGCGGGCGGGGTGCAGCAGCTCCAGTGTGTGTGCCAGGCCTGTCCGCTGCCAGGCCCGCAGGGGCACCCCACAAACGGCTCGTGCCCGCGTCGCGCTCCCCAGCCCGCTCGCGGGCGCGCTTTCCCGCCCTTTCTGTCCCTCCTGATCCAGGCCCCCGCCCTGACATCCTCCTCCCGTCGCTCCGCAGATTACCAGAGCGAGTACTACGGCCCCGGGGGTAACTACGACTTCTTCCCGCAAGGCCCCCCGTCCTCGCAGGCCCAGACACCAGTGGACCTGCCCTTCGTGCCGTCGTCCGGGCCGTCCGGGACTCCCCTGGGTGGCCTGGAGCACCCGCTGCCGGGCCACCACCCGTCGAGCGAGGCGCAGCGGTTCACTGACATCCTGGCGCATCCTCCCGGGGACTCGCCCAGCCCCGAGCCCAGCCTGCCCGGGCCTCTGCACTCCATGTCGGCTGAGGTCTTTGGGCCCAGCCCGCCCTTCTCGTCGCTGTCGGTCAACGGCGGCGCAAGTTACGGGAACCACCTGTCCCACCCCCCCGAAATGAACGAGGCGGCCGTGTGGTAGCGGGGCCTCGCACGGTCCGCGGAGTTCGTGGTTGTACAGAAATGAACCTTTATTTAAGAAAAATAGAAAAAAGAAAAAACGTAAAAAGCAAGCCCACCCCTCCTTCCTCCAGCCTCGGGGACCATTCTCCGTCTGGGGAGACCGGATGGGAAAGGGGGACACGAACTAGGATCCAAATCCTCTTCGAGGTGGGACTGGGATCCACACACTGGCTGGCAAGGTGCAGAACTGGGGCTCTCGAAGGGAACTGCAGACCTCCCCCCCCCCACCTCCCACCTGGATCCGGACCCGTGGACAGACCCCGCGGGCGCTTGCGCCTGGCGGGTGGAGAAGAGATCCTCGGCAGCCGCAGGCGCGCACAGCCGTTGGTGGTGATGCCAGGAGCCGTGGGGAGGGAGGCGGAAGCCGCTGGGGCGCTCCCGGGCCAGCCTGGAGGGTTCTGGCTCTGGGATATCTCTAAGTGTTGTCTCAGAGTTCGGCAACAGTGACAACAAACTCTTATAGCTTCAGACACGCCGACCTGCTGTGCATCAGGTGGGACTATATATATATATTTTTTGTCTATCTGGGTTTTTGTTTTTTGTTTTTGCCAAAATTGCAAAATTCTAAATGTAAAGCCCTCAGTATCAACTCTTCTACCTTCACAAAGTTCTACACACGCAAAGATACACACACAGACACACTGGATAGGATGGTCTCCGGCTGGACCTCTCAGTAAAATGACTTGAACATCAGTTATACAAGAAAAGTATTCTACCTTCACACACAAGAAGTTAAAAGAAAAAAAGACTATTGAGCTAAAAACAGTCAACTGTTTACGTATAATGTTAAATTCAGGAGTTCAGTGTTTTACTAATATATCCTGTTTTGAAACCTCTTGTTCAAAAACAAAATGTTTTGAACAATCAACCAAAATTGCTCCTTTTCTTTTCCTGTAGATATTCTGACAGATTTGCAGGGCTTGCGGCTCACTGTGCTAGTATGTAAAAGGTGTTGTTTACACGAGGCAAAGAGAAAACATGATATTCAGACAGTTGCCAAATAGAATAATTATAGCACAAATACTGTAAAGGTGCCTGGCACCAGAAACCTGAGGAAGTGTTTTAAAAAAAAAAAAAGTGTTACAAGGTTTAAAAAAACATCTTTGCTAATTTTTAGTCCTGTTGAACATTCATGGAATTGTTAATATGACTTATATAGACCCACACAGGTTTTATTTTTGTGTCTTTAAAATAAAAGTCCAAAATATTTAAATTTTATGGTCAAATATGCAGTCAACAGCTGCTACTTTTTTCTTTATATATTAAATTTCTCATATGTCTTTTATTGTTCTAATAAACCTAAGCTTGTGTGACCTCCAGTGCATATTAGACCATTCACTGTATGAAAGAAAACATGTTGAATAAATTTGTGAGTTTTTAATAAAAATAGAAAATCTGATGTTTAGATAATTGGTGTGTTATTTGATGTTTTCAACGACTGGAGGGGAGCCGTGATGGGGAGCTGAATGGGCCCTCAAAAGCCAGGAGGAAGACAGACAGTATTCGTGTGATATGTCTGTTTTTGTATCGGCTGGGGCTGAACCCCTTTGCTAATTCCAGCCAAGCTTTTCCCTGTAGCTTCCTGCTGTTATTAACTACACATTTACATTCTGTGGATTTAACTGATACAGTTGAAGTGATGTTTGCTGATAAGTTAATATAGAATTTGAAATAGAATCAAATCCATGGCTAAAAATGAGTGGTCTTGGTCTGTGATTAGGCATAAGATCCAAAGCATCCTCTCTCCCCCTCTCCCCACACATGTAAAACCGGGCTTGTGAATGTCAGATTCCTGTAAATATATAGAGGTGGTCCTTTTCAGTCTAAATTCATTTTCCATAGATAATCCTGCTTTCTAATTTAATGGTTTGAAAGATAACGTAAACGTAAACTGAGTGTGCAGGATAGCTAGAAATGAAATACTTTAATCCCTTTCACAGAACTGATATGAAGTTGTTTTACAGTATTTGTTACATACGAAGATCCCCAGAAGGAAAACTATTTTGTCTGGCACAAGATACACTCGTATATTAAGTTTCTCTGAAAGATGAACAAAAATAACTAATATAGAAATCAAATTTCAACTGGGAGTTGCCAATGGGTTCTGAAAAGTAGTTCAATCTCTTTCAAGCCTTCATTAGACATGGAAGGAATTTGAATATTTTTTCTATTATGAAATACTCGTGTGTGGATGTATGTGTATGTTTCAATGTTAGAGCTATTATAGTTCCAGAATTTCTTTTCCATATCACCTAGATCTGTTTGGATTATTATTTTTTTTCGTTAAATTTTTATTTTGTCAATATACAATGTTATATGATTATTATGGCCCGTCACCGACACCTCCCTACCTCCTCCCTCTCTCCCCTCCCCCCCAAGAATGTCCTTTCAGTTTGCTTGTTGTAACAACTTCAAAAAAGTATAGTTGTTATATCTTCTCCCCCCCACCACCATCAGTTTGGATTATTTATTTCCTTATTTTAAAAAATCAAAGGTTTTACATTAAATGGTCCATAATTTCCAGTGCTGTTTTCATATTTTAAGACAGAGCCAAGTTTATCTTTCCTGCAGAGAAGGCTTTAAAATAAGCAATATTTCACTGCATCCATATGATGGCTTATCTAATGGGGGGTGGGGGGCTATCAGGAATCTGGTAGTGTTCTTTCAGAAATAAAAATTTATGAAATACAGGGGAGATTTTTGAAACTCATAGCCTCTATATGCAGCACATTTCTTTATGTGCTTTATATGCAATCGCTGGGTCGGCTTGTTTTTGCCCTTTTAGCATTTATATACATTAAATCATAGCTAACCTATTCACGATAGCCACCACCCCCTAGCCACCTTTAAACACACATTCATTTAACTGAACGTATCTTCATTGGGAAGCTGCATTTTCCTATCAAGACTGCTAAATTATTTAGCAGCTTTATTATGGCATCGGGGTATTTGGTAAGAAGTGTTTTAGAGTTGGCCATGCGGTGCGGATTCGATTCTTCTCTAACTCCATGGCAGTGGCACAGTCGTTCCCCCTGGTGCGGTATTCTGAACCCGGGCGAATACCTGAACAGGTGGCAACGGCTCAGCAGTCAAATTTGGAGCCAAAGACCCGGGAGGAGGAGGTCTAAAACTGTCAGGGCCAGCTCCCCTTCGCATCAGTGCCGCGCTGTCCACCTCTGGCCCTGAGGTGCGGGGAAGCGTGGCACCGCTCCTTCGCGGAGCTCCCAGGAGAGGCGCGCGGGCGGGAGGGAAGCACCACCGTGGTCCCCTCTCGCCCAAGAGGGCAGCCTCCTCTCTGGCCAGGCTTGGAAGCCTGGCTTTTCCCCGCGGCCATCTTAAAGCCGTCACCTCTGTGCCTCCTGCCACCTGCCCGCAGGGTTCCAGCGGCCGAGTGGCCGAGAGTGGCCGCCTGCTCGGGCGAGGGAGACCAACCTCACACCCAACTTCTCCAGGCTGTCCCAGGCTGGGGGCTGCTTTGAGGGCAAGACAAAGCCGGGAAGGAGTATGTGTGAAGAGCCAGGACAAGCACTGCCAAGGGTCTGGGACCTGGGGTTTGATGGCGTCTGAGAAGAGAGGCGGGTCCAAACGTGGTTTCCTATAGCCCTGAAACTTGTGGTCAAGTGAAGAGACAGTCGTTTGAGATGCCGGAGGGTGGGGGTTAGGGGGGAATCTAATGTCACCCTTGCCCCATCCTTTTCTACTCTTACATCTGTTTGCCACTTTGCAGCCCTTGGACAGCAGGCAGAGGAATGTGAACCCTGAGGCCCTCCAGCCTTCTCTAGAGAGGACTGTTCTTTAGGGGAAATGCTCACGTTTATTCTCATCTTCCTGCTCATCTCATCTGCTCTTCTCTAGGGCGGCTAGAAGTTGAAATTTCTTCTAGAGAGGTATAGTCTTTGAAATATCCCCTCCCATAGCCTACCCTCCATCTGCATCCCCATCTCCATCAAGTAGCCCCTCCTCCACCATCTCAAGAAACTTGAACGCAAGTAGGAAGGGGCCCCCAGAAAGAGCATTTGAGAGGTTGCTCCCCTGTCTCATTTCCTCAACTTCTCTCAGCTGCATCTTAAGTTCTAGAATTCTTTCCTCTTTCCTCCACTCCTGGAGTCTTCTTCCTGCCTTCAGTATGGGGTAAGAAACTAGGGGAAGCATTTTGGGGGGCCCTGGAATGTGTGTGATAGGTGTAGAGTGGTCTTGATTCCTTCCTCAAAAGGCTTCCCAAATCAGGGCTTCCCAAGTAGGGACCAGGACAGAGAAGGGACAGGAAGTAAACAGGCCTGTAGCATTTTCTTTATTTGCTCAGCACAGCCCCCAAATTAGCCTGCAGTGTCCTGTTTGCATGACAGCTTAGAGGTAGTCTTCTCCTGCCTCACCTCCTTCTCCCTTTTCGCTCTTTTCTATACCTTGAAAGCCAGGTTCCTAAGCGTTATTAGAGCTTAAAACAGCAAGAGAAGAGGACTGGAGAGGTAGTTTCCTAAATGTGGGATGGGAGAAACATTTTTGTCCTTTGAAACCCAGAGCAATGGCTCCTTGTAGAGGCCCAAGAAGCACACTTTTGCTCTGGAGGCCCAGATGCAGGCACAAGACTGCAATTATAGAGGATGTTTAAAAACAAAAGTAAGGGCCGGCCCGGTGGCACACTGCTACAGTGCGCCGCTTGTGAGCGCGGTGGCGCTCCCGCGGAGGGTTCAGATCCCACGTACAGACCGGCCGCTCACTGGCTGAGCGAGGTGCGGGTGCGACACGGAGGGTTGCGATCCCGTTGCCGGTCCCGGTCCGGTACGGGCGCAACACTCAGGGTTGCAATCTGTTGCCGGACACGAAAAAAGACAAAAAGGAAAAAAAATAAAAATAAAAACAAAAGCAAAAAACTCTTCTCTCAGCCTAAGTTCTTTTACGGATGGTAAAAAGCTGTTTTCTTCACCTGGATCCCCTGCCTAGCCTGGCATTCTTTCCGTTCCATGTCCAGGGGGGTTTACCCTAAAATATGTTCTCCTTCTCCTTTGCAGCCCTGGTTGTCTTCATTCTTCAAGAGTGACCTACAATGGGGACATGGGACAGTTCACACTAAAGTGGTGTCCTTCTCATTGCTCTTGACCCTGCGGGTATATGAAGATTGTGGAAGTCAGGGATCATCTCCTTTGGGTTTCACAGGAGACACGGGCGGGGGGGAGCCCAGGGATCCCCAGGTTGTTCAGCTGTGGGATCCAACTGGCCTGGGAGTTACAAGAAGGGGCACTGCCACAATGCACCACTAACATCTCTTTTCTGGATCCTTTTGAGGCAGTTTCTGTTAAGGGGGTTCTAGGTCTCTACAGGCGACCTCCAACAGATACTGGAAGGATAGGCCACTTTGTACTCACACTTATCTCTTATTGCAGTTTCTGTTTACATGTTTGTCCCCGTAGGCTGATCAGCTCGGGAGAGAATCTAACTTACTCGCCTCTTATCTAGCAGTCTAGCAGTGCCTGCCACATAGCGGGCAGTCAGGGAATGCTTGATGAAGGAAAGAGAATATAAAGGGATTGTGTCTTTCCATGTGCTTGGGTGCAATTAAATATTAAATCTTTATATTTTGAGTCCACCTCTCTAATGGTAGACCTTAGCTTTTCCGTGCACCAGTTTCAGGTGGCTGAGTATGCCCTCATCTCGGAAAAGCAAAGATATCAATACCAAAGGGTATGCAGTAGAGTAACCCCCACCTAACCCCCTTTTTTCCTGCTCAGGCAAGGCTACTTGGAAAAGCTACAGAAAACAATCTTTATTCATACGCAGCCATAACAATTCCTGATTATTCCTATTAATAAAGACACCGGCAGCCCGGCGCACACTTACGCATACACATCTCTGACAGAGGATTCCCAAATCCTGGCCGCCGAAGGGCAGAAGGCGTGTACCCGGCACCAGACTCCTCTAAACTGTGAAATGCCAAACCTGGTTTAGGTCCTAGTACACGTGTGCCCAAATGCGCACCCGAGGTTTGAGAAACTTACCCTTTACTCCCTCCTCCTTCCCAAATCAGCCACCGTAAGCCACGGCTACTCTACGCTTTATTCCTAAACGTACGAATCTTTAGGCATATTTCGAGCAAGGGAACATGGGCCGCACGGAACGCAATCCCTGCTTAGCGCCTGAGGCTGTCACGTGTCCTCGCGCGCTCACGCACCCCCCCTCCCCGACGCACGCGCACGCGTACACGCGTTTGGACGGCGACAATCCCTTCAGGTTTCAGCGCGCTTCCGCCTTCGCCTTAGCTACGCCAGTAGTGACGCACAGGCCCCGCCCTCTCCTACGAGAGCCTCCCGGAAGTTGCCGGCTCGGAGGCGAGTGCTGGGCTCCGTGCGGCCCCTGGCTGTGTTCGGGACCTGTGTGTCAGTCAATACGAGAGGACCCGGCCGGGAGAGAGCGTCCCGGCCCGGGCTTGGGCCGCACATTCACGTGCGCGGCGGACCGAGCCGTGGTGACGA